TTACCTCGTTGCGTAGAGTATGAACCTCATTCTGCAACGATACTATCATCTCACGTAGAGCGGCAACCTCACCACGTAAAGTTGACACCTCCACACGCCATGCACCATCGTTATCGCGTAGAGTACCGATCTCCTCACGCAAGGCATTGACCTCATCACGTAACTCCCTTGACTCATCCCGTGGAGGTGGAGGTGGAGAACAGGGAGATAGGAGTCGTGGCATCTTTGCCGGTCGCCTATCATGAGGTGATGGTGGAGAAGAGGCTCGATGATGTGACGGGATAGGTGATGGCTCTCGTTCTAGAGGTGTATAGTCGGGTCGATCGGGTGATGGCTCTAGGTGAGGTGATGGCTCTCGAATTGGAGGAAGTGGATGCTGCTCATCGTCCGTGCCATCAAAAAAACTCTGACTAGCTTGCCACCAATCAGTGGCAAGCTCTTCCTCCGTGGGTGTCAGTCTTTGTAATGGAATGTTGGCCTCCTAAAATATAAAAACTCAAACAAAGTTAAACGTCTACTATTAATAACTTGTTTATATATTATATGAAAGTATTTGTGTTAACTTACATTATTTATTGTCGCATATGGTATTAAGTCTTCCCAATCCAACAGAGTTTTCCTCTTCCAGGAAATAGCCCTGGGAATATCATTTGACGTTTTTATTGCATATGTACGCATGCTGGGGAAAGCCTCGAATATCCAAATCTACAAACAATATAATAACAAAATTAGTAATTGTTAAATAATTAATTATAATTTTAGAAACATTATATAGAAATTCTTACCTTAAAGGCCCAAACAAAGCCTGACAAAGTGTATTTCGACCCATCGCCACGCAAACTTTTGCGGTCATCAAAGGCAGTAGACAACTTAGTCCAGGTAGCTTTCCATATATACGAACCCCACGGAAACAGATTCCATGCATTCAGGTCCTCTACCAATATTATTAGCTCCCGAGGAATAGGTTGTCTGGCCTCTCTGCCTAAAAAGCCGGCATACACAAGTAGTAGAAGGCATACTCGGACAACATCGACGTCATCCATCCGAGTGAAACCAGCTTTCTTATTAAACAATTTCTTCAGGTCGTCGACGTGTAGGTTCGGCTTCTCCATTGACTCATCCGGAAAAACCCGGGATAACCATGATGGGCGGGCGATATGACGAGTGTACCGGCCTACATCATCGTGTCCGAATCGTAGACCAGTGATTAAGCAGAACTCCTTCCGCCCAAAATAAGTATACGCTGGTAGAAAATGAAACCATATCTCTTCCTCACCACGTTGTATACTGTCGGGTAGATTTGATGTCATGGTCTGAAGCCACAAATGGGTCAAATTAGCATCTCCACCCGGATGCTGTACTCTCAGCCATGGCCCGAAGCAGGTTTCCTCAAACAATTGTCTTTGAGCAGGTGAAAGCTTCGAAGCAATTGTAGTGGCTAGGCTAACTTTATTCCTTAATGTCAATGAAGCCGAAAAAAATTTCTACAAAAACAATAAACATACCAAGTTAGATATACCAAACACTACACTGTGAAGATATACCAAAAACAATAAACATAAAAAGTAGTAGTTTATTCTTGAAACTAAAATTTGCAACACTGTTTTGTCTTTTGGTTGAAATGAAAATCGCAACGAGAGAATGACTGTCGCAACGAGAGAAATGAAAATCGCAACGAGAGAATCGCAACGCGAAATGAAAATCGCAACGAGAGAATCGCAACGCGAAATGAAAATTGCAATGCGATTTTGGTTTCACGTTGCGATTCTCTCGTTGCGATTTTCATTTCGCGTTGCGATTCTCTCGTTGCGATTTTCATTTCTCTCGTTGCGACAGTCATTCTCTCGTTGCGATTTTCATTTATCTCGTTGCGACTCTTCTGCAAATTGAAACTTGAATGGATTGCATTACTTCAACCAAAAGACAGAACAAAGACAAAGACAAATACTAACTTGAAAATCGCAACGAGAGAATAGCAACGCGAAATGAAAATCGCAACGACAGAATCGTAACGCGAAATGAAATCTAAGTGAAATGGTTAATCTATTATTGAAATGACCAGTAAACTTATCATCAGTTTCAATATGAAAAACCTACAATAATGCAAACATTTCAAAATAAAAATAATTAAAAAAACTAACCCTCGGAGGTTGATTTTCCATTTCTGAATATTGTGAGGGATTTCTGACCGTGAATGGTTGTGAGGGATTTCGCCGGAGATGGGGACGGAAATCTTCGGAGATGGGGACGGATTTCTTCGCCGTAGAGAGTGAGAGATGGAGATGGGACTGAGTTGTGATTTTAGGTTTTAGGTTATGAGTTGCGATTACGGGATTTTGTCTTAATATTCGTTTTTGTAATTTGAAAATAAAATACGCGTAGCGATTATAATGGCGCTTTAAATATCGCGTTGCGATTTACGGATACGCGTTGCGATTTTATGTATTATCGTTGCGATTTACGGATACGCGTTGCGATATACGGATACGCATTGCGATTTACCCATACGCGTTGCGATTTACGGATACACGTTGCGATTTACGGATACGCGTTGCGATTTATGTGTTCGCGTTGCGATTTTCATATTCGCGTTGCGATTTTGGAAAATCGCAATGCGAATTTGTACTATCGCATTGCGATTTTCAAGAATCGCGTTGCGATTTTGGAAACTGATTTGCGATTCTGGGGATCGCGTTGCGATTTTTATTTCGCGTTGCGATTTTGTTGGTCATTTTGGCAAATCCAAAAAAAGTTGGTTAAAATCGTATATTATAAGACATTTTTGTCACTGAGGCGATTTTATCTAAAAGAAATGAATTTATTTGTGATATTTTCTACCACTAGGAGTCTAGGATTATGTTCCTATTGCTCCACTTGTCCTAACCTTTCTATCAGAAGTATGATAACATCAAATTTTGTAGGAAAAACCATTTGCAAATTATTTTAATTTTTAATCAAAAATTTATTTTTTTTTAATTTTTTTTATAAATTTTTCATCTCTTGAAATCTTATAAATTTAATTTCTTAATATAAAATTCTACATCTACAGATTTTATATACAATTTTGATCATGAGTTGTAAATGATTATTTTGCACCATTGAATAGAAATGGGGGAGTGAAAGGAAAGGGTCCATGGAGAAAAGTTCAACAATGCAATTATTGAATCAATATGCGGTGCCGGTGAGACGTATCGGTTCTACCACTTCCAAAGTAGAATCGCTCTTTTGTGACACCACTCACTTCTTTGTCACTACAGGTGTTTATGGTCAAGTCTCTTTTGTGATAATTATTTATTTCCCTTTTTTAACTTAATTAGAAATATTTATAAATCTCTCAAAAAGAAATTCTAATAATTTAAGATGATTATAAGATATCATTTATTCAGAATTTTTAATTATTAATAATATCTATACACTTTACGAATATAACTACGCAAATTTAATATCTCATACAAAATAATCTATTTTTATCACAAAGATCGTTTATTGAATTTAGTTTAATATTTAAGATTGTATTAAAATAGTTTCATTATGCTGTCAACTTCTGAACTCTTAGAATGTTCAAATTTAACAAGTACATTGACGTTTAATAATTCATCATTGGACTTTAATTCTAAATTTGAAGAAATGAAGAATAAATTTCTAAAATTAAAAGTAAATGAGTTGAATTTAAAAAATCAGAAGAGTACAAGGATTGAAACAGAATTAAACCTGTTCGAGTAAATCACAATTGTTGTCAACTACTAGTGAATTTAATTTTTTTATCCAACTATTAAAATTATTTTTTGTCCCCACCAAATATTAATACAAATAAAAAAATAATTAATAAAATTAATATAATTATAACAAATTTAACAATTAATCTCTACCTAATATACTAATTTGATTATAATGTAGGATAAAGCCGTAAAGTACAGAATTGGTCTTCGAATAGGATACAATTTTATTAAATTCATCAACTATTAAAAGTTATAAAATAGTCATCCAACTACATAATGTTATTTTGTTATGTCTCACGACTATTAACAGTTATAAAACGATCACCCAACTATTTATTATGTTCTAAACTCATCATTTTCTGTTAGAAAATTGACATTTGTCTAAGTTAGACGTAAACATGATGAATAAGATATGATCATCTTTGAGATTATAGGATTATATTTTATCGTATCATAATCAATAAGTTAATGTTCAACTCATAATACTGTTAATTTTTAAATGAAAAAGGACGATTTTGAAATATAATGAATAGTCAAGTTATCATTTTATAACTTTTAATAGTCGAGAGATTCAATAAAGTAACACTCTATAATCAAAATATTATTTTGTAACTTTTAATAGTCAAAGGACTTAATAAAACAATACCCTATAGTCAGGACCATCTGTGTACTTTACCCTTAATTGTAAAAAAATAACTTTCAATATTTACATACTATAACAAATTTGTGTTTTTTTTTCATGATTTCGATCATTTGTGCTCAAAACGTGGCTCAATTTTAGATACTCTAATAAAGATAGAAGAAGCCGACGATGATGGACGAGGGTGCGAGAAGCTCCGGGTGCGACATGGGACGTAGCCTGTCGGCACTTGAACCGAACCCCCTGACTGTGCCCACAACAAAGAGTCGGAGGCGGTTATGATACTGTGCAGCAGCGGTGGAACTCGGCTGAAGCGGTCCCAATGCTAACGGCCTCAACTTTCTGTCTTTGTCTGCTTCTCTTCTCATCAACGGGATTGAATGATTTCGCCTGATCTGCTGATCTTTTCCCTTTGGGATTATTACCATTGTGAACTCTATGGATAAGTGAACAGGAGAGAAAGAATGATGAAAAATGTGTATTTGTTGGTAAATTCCACTCCCATGTACATAATTGTATGGTTTATACATAGATAATCACAGATAAGTATTGCTGTTTGTCATGTTATAATGAAGCTCCATAACAAAGATGAATATTTCATTATGTTTTTATCAAATATGACACTGGGAAACTTTGATCAGAGCCAAAGATATGATTCCATAAACACGCTTATATTACGCTTATATATATATATTATGCTAATGATACAACAACGAACATGCTGAAGCGACCAGCATCGCAAGTATGTTTTTCTTCTCTTCGTTCCCCTTTCAGGCTTTTATTGTACACCAAAAAGATTCTGCAACAATGTAAAGGAATGGGACACAACTTCTTCTGCAGACGTAAGGGAAGATTTAGTGAATCGCAACAATGAGCATGATCGAATAAAATAAACAAGAGCTTATAGTATAGGATACATATTTGCTATGCAGAAAACCGTGCTCGGTCATGTGAAGAAGAATAGTCGATATCCGGTCCGAGAGGGATTATCCCAAATGGATTTATAGTGTGATGGCTTCCATAGTAATGGCGCTTGATGTGTTGCACATTAACCGTACTGCTCATCCCTGGGATTTGGTAAACGTCCTTGGTATAGTTGAACAAATTGGGGTACTCTCGTAGAAGCTTTTTGTTGCACTTGAAATGAACGGCATAGACCTGTTAGGACAACAAGCTCGTTTTTGTTTAGTTGCAACGAATACGCAACACTGGAAAGCTGTAGAGGAAAATGAAATACCTCATCAAATCTTATGAGGGTCACAAACAGTCGAATATCTGCCTCGGTTAGAATGTTTCCACAGATGTAGCGTTGCTTGGAAAGAATCTCCTCACATTTGTCCAAAGCTTCATATAGATGTTTTACAGCCTGATGGTCCAATGACAGGGCAGAAGAATACATTTATTTCATGAACGTAGAGACCGACAAGTCTCGGATTGAATTGAAGTTGATCATTTACCACATAAAAAAATACCTCATCGTAAGGCTCTTGCTTTCTGGCAAACCCACATTTGTAAACACCGTTATTGATTCCCTCGTATACCCATTCGTTTGCCTCGTCAATTTGAGCTCTCAAATGAGGAGGATATAGGTCCAGAGCAGGATTCTTTGCTATATCGTTGAATTCAGTATTTAGCATGCGGATGATCTCTGCACTCTCGTTACTAACAATAGTCTTGCATTTCTTGTCCCATAGAACCTATAATACAACAGAAAAGCACCAAATCAGTTGAAAGAAAACATGGAAAAGCAGAGGGAAAACAGAATTATCAACTTACAGGAACGGTGAATTTCCCGGTATAGTTCCTACTTGCAAGCTCGTACAGTTCCCTTATACTCTTCACACAGTTAAAGGGGTCAGGTGAAGCATCCGGTTCCTCTGTATTAGAGGCTGGAAAAACCCATCCCATATGATCATCTGTTTCCTTCGTCCTTTCCCATATGGGTTTGACAGACTGGTGAACAATTGAACAATAAAAAATCATTAGGTTTATGACAGATGTAATCCAACTCAAAATACATGGCATGATTCACCAACCGTGAAACCAATGGCTTCGTCAAGTCCTTTGATCTTCAAGTAAGATAGGCACCTAGAAGCCCAAGGGCAAGCATATGACACGTACAAATGATACCTTCCTGACTCAGGTGGAAACTGAGAATTTGGATCTCGAGAAATGAAGTTGCGAAATGTCGAGGCAGGTCTGGTAAAAGCCCCTGAATCTGACATTTCATTCAGTGCAGATCGAACCATTTGACATGTACGCTGGAAAAAAAATGCATCACTTCACAAATTTATAACTTCTCAAACTCCAACAAATTCATGCCATCTTCAAGATTCAATCTTGTCTCGTTTGATATGTAGAAAGCCATTATGATCAAAAGAGTTTTGAACTAAAACAAATTAAGCCAACAAAGAAGAAAAGTAGAAAACCTTTGTTTCCTGGCAGCAAACGAAATGTTGAAGAGTAGCTACACAGATGAATGGAAAGGATACATACCGCTTATATACACTGATACCCAGAAGGTGATCAAAATAAAGCACAAGTCTTACCTTGAAAGAAAATAAAGGGAGAGTGGCGGAGTTGGTCGTACCAAATACTGAAGGGTTTTTGCAAAAGAGACAGAACATGTCGTTTTATAAAGTTTTCTTCTTTTTTTTCCCTTTCCTTTTTCTTTTTCGTTTCGGTGTTCCTACTAATAAATGCCCTTCTATCCTGGTCCTGGCTGCTTTAATTGACATCCAATGCATCTCATCTCATGCCTGAGCTCTGTTTTGAAAACTGGATCGGGTCGGCTGGTTCAATCGATAATTGTTATTTAGTTCGATTCAATTTAAATTGATTAAATCGTTATTAGTGAACCGGCTAAAATCGCTGAACCGTTCGAACCGAACCGGCTGAAAACCGGAAAAAATCGGGAAAAACCGGGAAAATCGGGATTTTAATTTTTTTTTTAAAAAAATTAAACCAAACAACGTCGTTTGTTAAACGAGCCAAGTCGAACTCGAGTATTGCTGAGCTCGACTAGAACTTGAAAACTTTAAAAGTAAGCTCAACTCAACTCAAACTCACAAGCTAAAAATTATCAAGTTCAACTCAAACTCGAAATATAATATTGAAACTTGAACTCAAAAAGGCTTAAACTCAAAAAAAAAAATTAGAAGCTCGATTGAAGCCTAAAATTCGAGCTTGATTGAAGTGAAAGAATAGTTTATTCAATGTTCACCAAAAGGCTCCATGATTTTGAATGTCAAATTACCTCTATTATTTATAGAAGTTAGTTGTGATGCGCTTCTATGTTTCTTAGCAATGTGAGATTGTTTTGTTCACATATTTTTACTCTTTAGACTTTTGGGATGCTCTTCTATGTTTCTTAACCATGTGAGATTGTTTTTAAAAAAAAATTAAACCAAACAATATTATTTTGTTATGATTTTTTTAACCCCAAATTTATTTTTTAATTATAATTATATTTATTATTTAATATGTTTTACCTTAAATATTATGTTGTAGTTAATTTGAATCATTTTGTTTCACTTGATTTTATGGTTTTTAAGTTATATATGTTATAACTTGCTTTGAATATGACTTGTGATATAAAAAAATATTTTTTATTAAATATTTTTAGTATTTTTATTTAATTTTTTAAATAATTATAACGTCGTCCGGTTCTTTCGACCGATCGAACTGATTCAATCGGTTAAACCAGTGAACCGATTCACTAACCGGTCCGGTTTTAAAAACCATGTGCCTGAGGTGGCTAAAGAAAATATCAAGTAATGACAAAAGCGATCTAACACCAAATGCGTCAGCAATTAGATCAGAAAAAGGTTACATCTCTTTTGATTATGTTAACTACTAAAATAATTCTGGTTTTTCTTTAATCTCTCTTCTATTTTATTTATTATTGTTTTTATTTTTTTTAATTATTCACTGAATTTTAGACATCAAAATTTTTCACTCACTCTAAGATGATGTGAATTATTTTATTATTTTATGTATCATATTTTATTAATATTTTTAATATCAATTATGATTAAAATAAAAATAAATTTTAAAATTACAATTATACTTGAATTCTTAAATTACATCCCAAACCCTAATCCCCAAATTACAACCCCACCCACCATCAACCTTGGCAAATTTCCTTCCACCGGCGAACGGTCAAGCTCACCTCTGCCCCCTCACTCTCTTGTTCATCTCACACGAGCCTCAACCAAACCAATCAACACAACCATGGAATTAACTCTTTGTTGATTAGGTCAAAACCAAACCACAAGGACAACAAAAAATTCAAACAAATAAATCAATGATTCAACACCAAAGGAGAAATATAAATTACATGGACTTAATCAATGATTTAAACCAATCAACACAACCATGGAATTAACCCTTTGTTGATTAGGTCAAAACCAAACCACAAGCACAACAAAAATTCCAACAAATAAATCAATGATTCCACACCAAAAAAGGACCATCGAGGATCACCGTGGCAGCCACCGACGACACTAACCCCACCCTCCATTGACACTTGAATGTGAGGGTTTTTAGGTTTCGATGTATATTTTAATATTTTTAAATTTAATTTTTTTTATTAATCCTAAATAATATTAAAATATTAATAAACACATGACATACCATATAAGAAAATAATAAAATAATCTATGTCATCAAATGAGTGATAAAAAAAGATCAATGTCTAAAGTTTAGTGAATAAATTTAAAAAAATTAAAAGTACAATGAATAAAATAGATTTTTAAATTCTATGGTTGTGATGTACATATTTTGGAGGACTCATATATTTTGTAAACGTTGGATTTGATTTCCTTTGCAAGTGTGATTTATTCTGATGTTAACTATTGTTTTCAAAGAAATTTTTGAGTTGACCATTTCGATGGTTCCATGTGGCATCGTAATTAATGGATTTTTGGATCGCACTAGATTAGGGTGTTATACCTTCAAATACTGAAATTCATGCGGTCCTCACGGAAATTACACCTCTTAAATCTCATGGTGTTGACAGACTCCACGCTGAATTCTTTCAAAAGAATTGGAGTATCGTCGGTGACTTGGTGTTTGCGGTCATTCAAGAAGTCTTCCAAGGTGGTTTATTAGAGGTGGAACTTAATCGAACTCTCCTCATTCTTATTCATAAAACCTCTACCCCGGAGTCGTTTGGAGATTTTGGACCTATCATTCTGTGCTCGGTGATTTATAAAATTCTCTCCAAAGTGATTGTTCGTCGTTTAAAGCTGATCATGTATATTCTTGTAAAGCCGAACCAGACAAGTTTTGTTGCTGAACTAAACATCACTGGCAACGTCATCATGAATCAGGAAGTTATTCACTCAATGCACTCGACCCAATTAAAACAAAAGTGGATGCTATTAAGGTCGACCTCGAAAAAGTCTTCGATCGACTTTGATGAGACTTCATCCGTGACACCCTCCATGACATTGGTTTTCTGTCGGGCTTAATCCATATAATTATGAACTGTGTAACTTCTTCGTCAATGCAAATTCAATGGAATGACATCCTCACTTCCACATTCCATCCTGAATGCGGCGTCCGCCAGGGAGACCCTATCTCACTATATCTCTTCGCTCTAGCCATAGAACGGCCCGGTCACAACATCTCTTAATATGTTCACTCGGGCATCTGGTAACCTTTTCGTTTATCAAAAACGGTATGCCTCTATCGTACCTCTTTTTTATGATGATTTTATATTGTATACCAAGGCAGAATCGAACCAAGCAAAAGTTATCGATAACATTCTCATCGACTTTGGCTATTTCTCCTGTCATTGGGCCAGCAAACGGAAAACTCATATTTATTTCTCAGCCTCCACCGAATATGAGGCTAGAACTTTAATCAGTTCTAAGCTGGGATTTCAGACTGTTGAATCACTCGACAAATATCTTGGCGTTCTTGTTATCCACAAACGAACCCGATGCTCAGATTTCGATTTGATCCTCCACAAGTTGAAAGAACGCCTAAATGGATGAGCGACCAAAACTCTCTCCCTTATCTGTCGTATCACGCTTGTGAAGTCAGTTCTCTTTGCTATTCTCATTTATTTCATGCAAACATCTCTCTTCCCCAAGTTTGTTTGCGATGAAATCAAGCGACTCATAAGAAACTTCATTTGGAGTGGCTCTTCCCCGGATACAAAAGTTCATTTACTAAATTGGAACTCTGTCTGTCAACCCATCAAGAATAGTGGTCTCGACATACACAAAATATGATCATAACAGAGCCTTCATAATGAAAATTGGGTTTGCCTTAATCACCAAACCAGGAGCCATTTGGGTTCAACTTCTTCGTGAGAAATGCAAAATGGTGGACATATTGACCATCAATATATTTCGTCAGCGCTTCTCTAATCTATGGCGATCAATTGCAAAAATCTGAAATGATCTCATTGCCAATTTAGCTTGGAGCCTTGGTAGCGGTAAGCATGCCTCCCTCTGGCACGATGTTTGGATCCCAACTCTTAGTATACTTTGTGATCATGTTATCGATCCTTTAAGTATGGCCTCTTTCACGAGTATTCGCGACCTCACTAACGATAATGGTTCTTAGAATATGGAAATTCTTGCCTCTATTTTTCAACCGGTTGCTATTCATCATATTCTTGCTATCAAATGTCCGAATCCGCTTGATAATGATGATGTATGTTATTGGATATGAACGTCAAAACATAATTTCAAAATCTCCTTAGCTTATAAATCACTTGTTGGCCACCTTTGGCACGAACCCGACTCTTTGTGGAATCTATTTTGGCACCTTCCAATGCCTTAAATAATCCGAGTTTTCATTTGGGTTACTTCTCAACAAAAATCATAACCAACTTGTAACATTTTTGACGCTCTCTTTCAAGTGACCCGGGCTGCATTCTATGTTTCTTAACTCAAGAATCGGCAATCCATGTTCTCCGTGATTGCAATCAAGCCAAAAGTATATGACATTATTTCAATGTATGTTCTCTCATCTCGGACTTTTGGAAAATAGATATCTGGTAATGGCTTGCATCAAACCTTAGTTGCACTCAAATGTTCCCTACAACAAACAATGAAACCTCTGTCCCATGGAATATTCTCTTCGCGTTCCTAATTTGGAGCATCTCGAAAAGCCGAAATGATTTCGTTTTCAACTCAATATCCAGCTCTTTCAACGAAATCATTAAACACGACAACCTATGGCTATCCATTATCACTAGCATCGCATGTCCACTCATTTGGACTAGACCTTTGCCCGTTCTCTCAATGGAAATTGGTCGAAATCACCCCACGGTTGGATCGCCCTCAACACGGACGGAGCAATCCACAAAATCTCGAGACAAATCTCAATAGGTGGTCTTTTTCGAGACATAGACGGCTCCTGGATCACAAGTTTTTCTCGATACATAGGCATCTCAAACCCATTGCAAGCTGAGCTATGGTCGGTCTATGAAGAATTGAAGCTGCTGGTTGTTGGTAATGCTCAATCACACATAGTATTGGAAATACTATTGGGAATGGGTATTTATGGTTTGGATTTCCCACTTCCTTGTTGAGTGAAAGAGAACAAGGGGGACTCTCGCACCGCCACCCCCGCCATCCGTCTCGTC